GTTTAAGTGTGTGTGTGTGTGTGTGTGTGTGTGTGTGTGTGTGTGTGTGTGTGTGTGTGTGTGTGTGTGTGTGTGTGTGTGTGTGTGTGTGAGAGCGTACGTACACATGCCCTCGTCTTCTACCCTACGCATTTCGTAGGCGCAGTGATGCCTACGGGCAGTACACGGGTATTGTCACCTTTGCGTATTAGTCAGTCATTTTACCCTCGTCCATTCACCAGCAGTTATCAGTCAACAAAAGCAGGGCAATGTTGTTCCATGGAAGCGCAAATGCGTGCTCGCGTACGTCTTTGTGTTGCAGCGTCTCTACATGTTTGCCGGTAGCAGCACACTGCGCAGCGCTCGTTTGTATATTTATTGCATTTCGGGCTAGCAGCAATCGCAACGTGCTCACTCAGTTTCCCATGTGCGCAGCTCAGCATGGAGCGCGGCTATTTCGCTAAGAATTCCCACACACTCGATGTATAGCTATTGCGCCCTCTGGAGACACGCGGCAACAATGGCCCGCTCGAGTAATTTTCCCTTTCGCTGAATCGACCCCGGGGCGTGCTCGAAATCTAGGCCCCAGTTTAACTGAGTCATCAGCGCGATGGCCCCCCGCTGCCGCTCTGTCGTCGCTGTCACCGACAACAATTACGAATTACGCAGAACAATCGGGGGGCGGGATGGAGGTGTCTCTCGCAAGCGCGCTAGCGGCGTCGCACCTCACGAAAGACGTTGTAAGCAGAGACGGGAGTAACACTTCCACTGATTGTTCTCATTACGTAAGCGAACCCCCCCGCCGGTGGGGGAGATGCAGCTCTTTAATGACCGATTTCCGAGAATAAAAACGCACCATTGACTAGTTGATGCGGGACGAGTCCGTGAGAGCGCCGGTGTAAGTGCATGGCTTGCTGGCGCAACGTTAATGCATGCATTTAAAGTCAGCGAACGCGCCGGGCGCAATCGAGATGTCTACGGGCGCAGTGATGCACGACATCAAAGAAGGCCTCGCAAAGTATACAGGCGCTCGCGTAGCGAGTTCGGAGCTGTCGTCTTTGTTTGCATAGCGGAGGCGCGCATGATGAAGAGTGGAATGTATGAGTGGAAAACACTGAATATGCAAACGAGTCGTCGTTATTAAACAAACCGAGCGTGTTTCGACTGCTTCATTTTATTGATGTAAATCCGTATTCTGCTTGTAATATCTTGATGCCTTCACGCGATTGTCACGGTAGCTAGTTAAGCGGGCGCTAAGCTTCCTGCACGCGTTACTATGGTGCGATGGTGATGAACCGTGAACACGCCAGGAACGTGGTTGATGACCAGACAGGCGCGCCTGTGTAATTTAAATTGACTACGTCATTTATAAAAATGTTTGTTGCAATTTTTACATGAAAAGTAAGTACTAACGGCACTAAATGTATCCTCAAACCCTAACCCTGTTTTTCAACTAGTTAAAAAAAATTAAAAATCTGGGCGATTTGATATATTGATCATGCCATTAAATGCTTGCTATGTGCCATGTATGAGTCACGAGTTTTTGTTCACATCGAACGGAGTAGCAAAATAGGTAGTATAATGCAGCAATTTAACCATTACATAAGAAGCAAACAGAATCACTTACATTTTGTGAAAAAGTGTACATTATTTTTTACTTTTATTATTATATCACCCAGGCTGAACGCAGGTGACTCTGCGGTGTGCAGCATTCGCACATACGCCTCGATGCGCGTGTGCGTGCGAAAGTGTGCGCGTGCGTATGTACCTGGGCGTATGTACTGGGCGCGTACACGCAAGGATGTTTGTGAGCGTGTAGTAGGTTGTATGCGCACACGTAAATCCTTTTCTACGGATATAACTCTCTCGTATTCTAGTATACTTCAGCGTGTGCGCGCGAGAGCAGAAACCAACAACAATCTCGCATTTTTTCGCACGGACATTTCGTCGAGTAGTACCATAGATTGTGTGTCGTATATTCGATCTTAATTATAGCTTCTCTCTTAGGCTCAACAGAGCCGGATAGCCGAATACGGACCGATCTACAAAGAGAACATTGGCCACCAGGACTTCGTCGTAACGAGCAGTCTAGCCGAGTACTCGAAACTGATGAGAAGCGAGGGGAAATATCCACGCAGAATTCAGCTAGAACCGATGGTCCACTTTAGGAAGTCCCGCGGGATGTCGCTAGGCTTAGTCAACTCGTAAGTTGAACTCTCCCGGTGAGAATTCCGGCGCAAACAGTTCGAATCAGACACCTCATCAAATCTCGTAGAATTGGCATGAGCCGGATTACTCGAAGTAGCCTACGGAGCTGATCGGGTGGCTCTACGAAAATCTTTAAACTCACCACCGCTGTTTCCGTCCATACTACGAAGAGCGCATATTAAAACTCTACACAACGCGCACACAACAAGGAAATTTGCGTAGCGAATCCTTTCATGATAATTTCAACGAGAATGTAAAAACATAGGCCCGGACATAATGCCTGAAAATACGATATTACGTCGATCTAGTCCAAGACCGTCTTCGCTGAATACGAGGGGTAGCGTTTATAATGAGGTCTTAAAGAAGATTACTTTTACACGCCGTTACACGCAATGTGTGCAACGATTAGCAATATCATTAACCTAATCGAGTAGTCGGTGTATCCTGTCATCAGATGAAATTATCAATTTATCTCCATATACGCAATCGTACACTCTCAGTGACACAATATAATTATATCAGAAGTAGATAATAGGGCCCTATTATCTACTTCTGATTATATTAAACCTTTCAGAACTTTCATTTATCATTTTGATGCGCGCTGCTTATTAATTTAGTTAATTGAATTGTGTTTTTCGTTTAACACTACGTCACGATAATACATACGAATGTAATCTCCACATCTGTCGCACACGTATTTGCTTTTTCTGTCCCTCCCCCCTCTCGCTCTCTCTCTCTCTCTCTCTCTCTCTCTCTCTCTCTCTCTCTCTCTCTCTCTTTCTCTCTCTCTCTCTCTCTCTCTCTCTCTCTCTCTTTCTCTCTATCCCTATCTCTCTAGTTACCATAACTGACGGACAAATGTCGCACAATTAGCCAAATGCAGATGCTCAATCTCCACTCACAATTTCATACGAAGACGCGATATTTATAGAATTGCAAACGTGGATTACAGGTGGAGCACCTGGGCAGCGATGATAGTACAGTCAGCGAGAGCAAGCCGCAGCAGTGCCCATTCAAAATCAAAAGCTTCAAAGAGATGCCTGGACCAAGGGGACTGCCGCTGATTGGAACTCTGCTAGATTACGTTGGCGTAAAGAAGCAAGGCTTCAGCTTCAGCAAGCTGTTTCTCGTAAGTGCCACCCGCGCCACGATGCGCGTCTCTTATCCGAAGTAGATTGCGCAACACGCGACGGCGCGTCGAATCTCGTTCGATGTAGCCGTCAGAACTCGAGACACGCGCGCATGCGCAGTCCCCGACGCTTACAAGGTCATCTCGGCGTGAGATTTATAATAATCGGTGTGCTATTCGTTTACCGGCGTGATCGGCTGCAATTTTTATTGGTGCAAATGACGCGTGGACGGGGTGACATAAACAATCTGCATGCATCGCGATATTGTGTTGACATTATGGCTTCGCCGCTATCACGCGGTTTTACCCGCGAGCAACCATCGCGGAATAATGGATGACGGGTTGACCCAAGCGGAACTAGAGGGCGATTAAGCCATATATATATATATATATATATATATATATATATATATATATGGAGAGAGAGAGAGATAGAGAGAGAAAGATTCCGTGACAGAGGTGGAGATAAGATAAATAGAGATAAAGGATGTTTGACATAAAAGAGAAGTAGACGAAGGAGAGAGAAATAGAGAAACGAGAAGAAGAGAGATGAGAGGTGAGAGAGGAAGAGAGCAATAATGAGAGAGAAAGAGGCAGACAGAAGAGTAAGAGATATACTGAGAAAGACAATGAAAAAGAGAACAAGCATGCGGGTGAACTATAGAGAAAGTTAAATAGGAAGAAGGAAGGAAATCGAGGAGGAGAGAGCGGATTAGTTAGCTAAGTAGTGAGAGAGAGATAGAGGAAATGAAAAATAAATAGTGAGGAAAAAAGGCGATGTAACGAGAGAGCGAGCGCGAGAGAGAGAGACTAGAGAGAGAGAGAGAGAGATAGAGAGAGAGAGATAGAGAGAGAGAGTGAGAGAGAGAGAGAAGAGAGAGAGAGAGAGAGAGAGAGAGAGAGAGAGGGAGAGAGAGA